CTTTGCGACCTCACAGACTGTAGCCCGCCAGCCTCCTCGGTCCATGGGATTTTCCAGGCAAGAATCCTGGAGTGGGTTGCCACGCCCTCCTCCAAGGGATCTTCCCAATCCAGGGATCAAACCCAGGTCTTCCACATTGCAGGTGGATTCTTTACTGCCTGAGCCACCAGAGTTTACCTTTTGATTATGCCTGTAGTTCACTCTAATAGAAAAAAAAAACTTAGATTTCATCAAGTCCTAAAGATATGGAGACAAGTTTTCTGCCTAGTATCTTGGTTTCCCCTACAGCCCTCCAAAATTAAGTCTAACCCTTATGGAATTATGAAGTGAGCATGTTACATTTGCTTATTTACTTATTTCTACTCTGCATTTTTCTCTGTGCTAGTCAAATCCCAGTTATATTCCCAGTACCAATAAGTTGTTGGTGGGAGTGGCAAGAAATACATGTATTATCTTTTCATTCGCTTCTTCAATAGATAAGGGATTGTGATACACTCAGCTGATACAATAGTAGTGAGGTTGAATAAGATGCTTAGTGTAGTGCTTGGCACATAGCAATTGCTCAAATTACCTGTCACTGTTGTTACTTCTCACGAATAAAGGAGTGAATTTTTGTGCCTTCCAAGGCAGCACAGAGAGATTTTCTATTGCCCCGCTCAGACTCCTTCTCTATTCAAATTATCTGTATTATTGTATTATTTCCCAATATTTTCTACTCTTATCTAAGTTATAAAGATGATTTTTTTTTTCAGCTTTCTACTTCAAAAAGACTGGACAGAGAAAGCGCTGACAATTGGCAGAAAGAAGAGAGGCACTAACAAACCACCTGGGCAATGGAAAGTGTGGATTTGACAGTTTAAATAGTAATTTCATTTTTCCATGGTGAACTGAATAAGGAAATGAAAATGAAAGTTAAATTGTATTCAGTCCAGTTCAGTTCAGTCCAGTTCAGTCGCTCAGTTGTGTCCGACTCTTTGCGACCCCATGAACTGCAGCATGCCAGGCCTTCCTGTCCATCACCAACTCCCGGAGTCCACCCTAATCCAATTCCATTGAGTCAGTGACACCATCCAACCATCTCATCCCCTGTGTCCCCTTCTCCTGCCCTCAATCTTTCCCAGCATCAGGGTCTTTTCCAATGAGTCAGCTCTTTGCATCAGGTGGCCAGAGTATTGGAGTTTCAGCTTCAACATCAGTCCTTCCAATGAACACCCAAGACTGCTCTCCTTTAGGATGGACTGGTTGGATCTCCTCGAAGCCCAAGGGATTCTCAAGAGTCTTCTCCAACACCACAGTTCAAAAGCATCAATTTTTCGGTGCTCAGCTTTCTTCACAGTCCAACTCTCACATCCATACATGACCACTGGAAAAACCATAGCCTTGACCAGACGGACCTTTGTTGACAAAGTAATGTCTCTGCTTTTTAATATGCTGTCTAGGTTGGTCANGAGAATTTTGAGTGTTACTTTACCAGCCTGTGAGATGAGTGCAATTTTGCGGTAGTTTGAGCATTCTTTGGCATTGCCTTTCTTTGGGATTGGAGTGAAAACTGACCTTTTCCAGTCCTGTGGCCACTGCTGAGTTTTCCAAATTTGCTGGCATATTGAGTGCAGACTTTCACAGCATCATCTTCCAGGATTTGAAATAGCTCAACTGGAATTGTAATTACTGTAGCCTAAAAGGGTATTTTGGTATGATGACTCAGCATTATTATCTGCTTTTAGAAATATTTTCTGGGGACTTCCCGGGTGGTCTACTGGTTAAAACTCCAAACTTCCCCTACAGGGGGCATGGGTTTCATCCCTGGTTGGGGGAGCTAAGATCCTATATGCACCATGCAGCATGGCCAAAAAAAAATTACTAGAGCTATTTTCTGGAAGTTATCCTGGTAAACAATTAGTTGTGAGGCCACTTTACCACCATGTTTCTAAAATGGGGATATGCACATTCAACACTTGACACCACAGAGCAATCATGGAACATATACTTAAGGCATGGATTTTGCTTGAAGATACACTTACTACCCCTACCCACCACCCCATTAATGTCAATTTGTATATATTACTTAGTCATTCAACAAGTATTAGCATTCAGGCAGAATGCTGTTTGCTGGGCAATACTGATTTAGAAAGCAGAGACATCAGTTTGTAAACAAAGTTCTGCATAGTCAAAGGTATGGTTTTTCCAGTAGTCATGTACAGATGTGAGAGTTGGATCATAAAGAAGGCTGAGTGCCAAAGAATTGATGCTTTTGAATTGTGGTACTGGAGAAGACTCTAGAGAGTCCCTTGGACTGCAAGAAAGTCAAACCAGTCAATCCTAAAGGCAATCAGTCCTGAATATTCTGAAGGACTAATCCTGAAGCTAAAGCTCCAGTACTTTGGCCACCTGATGAGAAGAGCTGACTTTCTGGAAAAGACCCTGATGCTGGGAAAGACTGAAGGCAGGAGGAGAAGGGGACGACGGAGGATTAGATAGTTGGATAGCATCACTGACTCAATGGACATAAGTTTGAGCAAACTCTGGGAGATAGTGTAAGAAAGAGGAGCCCGCTGCTGCATTCCATGGAATTGCAAGGAATTGGATGACACTTAGCGACTGAACAACAAAAACAATAACAACTGATTTAGAAAATGGGTATGGCTCTTGGTGGTGGTGGGAATTGCAGGATAAAATGCAAAATTTTATACATTTTTAAGTCACAGTATGACAAGAAATTTTGACTTTGTGGGGGACCTCTTTGGATTAAACTGCCAGGTTTATGAAGGTATACATTCACTTCCCTTAAATTTTGAGGATGACTCTAAGGAAAAGCTTGGCGAGTAAGTATGGAAAGCTGGAGAAGCATAAGAGAAACAAGCCCTGATAAGGTTTACTGAAGCAGACACAGCAGTATAAGTTCCCTACTGAGCTGTGAGCTTCCAAAACTGTGAGAGGCCAGCAGCCTTCAGGAATTAATATTTTCACTGAAACTAGTGATTAGTTTCTGACCCAAAGAATTCACTGTTCTTATGGCTTTTAATTTAGAAACCTAGACAAAGTATTAAAAAGTAGAGACATGACTTTGGTGACAAAGGCCTGTATAGTCAAAGCTATGGTTTTTCTAGTAGTCATGTATGGATGTGGGAGTTGGACCATAAAGAAGACTGAGCACCAAAAAATTGATGCTACAGTCCATAGGGTGGCAAAGACTCGGACATGACTGAAGTAACTTAGCGGGAGCATGCATATATATATATTTGTTGTTTAGTCGCTAAGTCGTGTCCAACACTTTGCAATTCCACGGACTACAGCACGCCAGACCTCCCTGTCCCTCACTAACTTCTGAAATTTGTCCATATTCATGTACATTGAATCAATAATGTTATCCAACAACTCATTCTCTGTCTCCCTCTTCTCCTTTTGCCTTCAATCTTTCCCAGCATCAGAATCTTTTCTAATGAGTTGGCTGTTTGCATCAAGTGGCCAAGGTACTGTAGCTTCAGCATCAGTCCCTTCAATGAGTATTCAGCGTTGATTTCCTTTAGGAGTGACTGGTTTGATCTTGCTCTCTCTCTATATATAGATAGTCAACTTGATTTCGTGTGGTCACACTCAAGAGTCTGTCTCTTGGGACTATCTGCACCCCTCAATTCCAATTCGCTCTCCCTAGATGCGCTGGGAGCCTCTGGTCCCTCTAGCGGCTTGTTGTCGGGGTCCCTGGGTTCCAGCCACACTCCCCGGATCCCATCCTGGAATCGCGCTCTCTCCCTGCGCCTGCGTCTGGGCTAACAGCTTCAGGCTGAGCTAGCCGAGCTTTCAAAGTCCGCGGGACCGGAGTCTCCGGAACCCTCTCGGGCGCCGCCCCTCGAGTCCCCGCAGACTCCTAGCGGCCGCGGCTTCCAGATTCAATCGCTGGCGGAGGCCAGGCCTCACTAGGGAATGCAACGACCTTCCGAGCGGAGGCGCCCGGAGGGAAAGCCCGGGGCTGGCAGGAAAGAGGACGCTCTGCTCCAGAGTCGGAGCGGTCGCCAGGGTTTGGGGTTCGAGTCTGGGGACCAGCTCCAGCTGCCCGCAGCCCTGGAGCTCTGCCCCTCGGGGGTCGCGCACCGAGCCGTGGAGGCCCCAGCTCCCTCCCCCACACCCACCACCTCCCACCCAGGCTGACCACCCTTTATCATATCAAAACAGTTGAAGAAAACAATGGTTATTTCAAGTTGACAGCGCGATGACCCCTGATAAAAGCGAGTGTTAATTACAATAGTTGCCTGGGACAAAGTTTACCGCTTGCATCAAGAAGTTGGGGGGGGGGGTAGATCTTGTGGGGTGAGTGTATTTTAAACACGTGATCGCCTTGAGACTTTGCGATCTCTCTGGGGGAGGGAGGGCAAGAGTGAGGGTAACTGTCTGTAAAACAGTGGAAGAAAAAGCCCCAGTTTCGGGGGGCAAGTGTTAAGGGTCCCCTTTTGGGAGCGCGGTGCCGAGCACAGAACACCAAGTCTCCCTAATTATTCAGCTGGAGCCCGCCTCGCAAGGCGAGACATTCGCAGAGCACGATTCCAGCCCGGCAGCCAGCTGCTCCGGGTGAAATGAGCCCTTCATTTTCCCGATCGGCTCAGGAGGGGAAATAGTGAAACCCCCAAATCCGCTTCCTTACGTGGTTGCTAAAAGGGCACACGCAGAGCCTAGGGGGTGGGGAAATTACAAGTGCAAGTGACTTCGGGTATACTAAAGCTAGTGATTCCCCCCCACCCCCGTTATCTGGGGATAACGGAATCGTAGGTTGTAAGTTTCAGTGTCTAATGAGTCGCGGGGGGCGCACATCACTCGTAAAGTCCTTGTCAGACGCGCCCCAAGTTTGTGGCTCGGGCGCGGACGGCTGGCCGAGCGGGGGTGGGGAGGGTCTCCAGTCCCAGGCATTGCGCTCGGGGCTTCTGCTCAGTTTCCTGCCTCGGAGTGGCCGCGTCCGCCCCAGCCCAGAGGAGTGTGTGCAATCCAGAAACTCGATAGGAGGCAGCAGCTGATCACCCACCGCCCTAAAAATAATCCGCTCGGCGCCCGGCGCGCTTCGGCTGGGGGAAGGAAAGCGCTGGCTTCGGGGTGAGTGAGTCCGTGTCTTTTTCATAAATCTCATTTCAAGAGTTTCAAGGATAACCCTCGGTTGTCGATAACAGCAAGCGGAAGGCTCCCGCGTGCTCTCGCAGCGCTTCGCCGTCGCTATTTCTAGGGTCGAAGCGACCGGGCCCCAGCCCTGGGGAAGAGAGGGCGTGGGGATCAGGTTTCCAGCTGGACTTAACAAAACTCTGGCCGGCTCCTGCTTAAACCAAGTGGATAGAGTGCGAGGAGTTAATACAATTGTGTTTTGTTTTTCCTTTTAGATATTTCCCGTCTTGTCCACGAAGTAACTTTCTGGTTAATTTCTGTCCTTTGCTTTGTAGGAGTTCTGCGTCCGGCTTTGAAATTTATACTTAAAGACAGAGTAGGAAGCTGGTGTTTTGAAGGTAAAGCAAGTGCACCAGTGGGGGTTTGAAGCAACGTCAAGCCATTGCCCAAGGTATCTATTTGTTGCTTTATTTCTACAGAGTGGGATTTAAAAAAAAAAAGCCACTGGAGTGTCTGTGTGAGGAATCTTGTCTACTTAGTAGCTCCAACATTTCCTTTGGTGTGCAACAGAACTTTGATGGGTGCGTTGAGATCAGACACTTAATCAGATGTCTGTCCTTTTTGCTAATGATTTCCTGCTTGGTTCTGTAGTTCATATATAAATAGACCGACATCTTTTAATTCATGTTTTATAAACCACGGACTGAATAACTTCAAATAACTTATTATTAAATATTAACATTGGTTTTCCTAAGTGATCCGATCCTGGGCATACCTGAGATGATGATAAAGCCCTGAATGAGTTCTTTGAAATGTCGCGTTTCTGTCTCACAGTGCAATTTGGTTAATCTCCGAGTAGGTAAAGGATGAGTTATTTTGTGTGTGAGAATGAAGGCTTTTATATTGCATTTAGTGTGCTTTCTTCAGGGGTCCCCAGCTTGTTAAATTCTCTGTGATTACTCTTCAGTCAGAACTGATACTGTTTGCTGGGTGAACAGTGAAGAGTGCTACTTTTCACTTTACTTTATATTCATCAACTGCATCCACATGTTTTCAGTCCTGAGGGTGTGGAACTTTATAAGATGCATTTCAAGCCATAAGAACACTTAAATTTGGTCACCAAGACCTGTAGAAAGTTCTGTTCTACAGACCATTATTGTAATCAGAGTTTCACTTTTGGTGTTTGTGTTTCAAGTTCACTCGGTCAAATTCTCCAACCCTATCAACTGTCATAAACACTTGAACGTCCTTCTGTGGATTTATGTTTGTGGGGAGAAAAATGTCCTGTCTTCTTCTCTGGCCTGCTTCCCTCTCTCTCCTCTTTGATGCTGGGGCCTGTCAGTGTCGGCTGAACTAGAAAGCTGGAAGGGGCGGGGCTGTAGGGTGTCACGTGATTTATCTGGGGCGAGCAGCAATTTCTACCTTCCCAAAGTATCCCCAACTTAACCTGGGTCCCCAGAGGGAAACCCTGAATGACAGTTGGAGATTTAAGAATTAGTTTAAAAATCCTGATTGGATAAAATGCCTCAGGTGAACACAAATAATGTCAACAGGTCTAGAATAAGTTTACTTTTCCCCTGCCTTTATTCATGTTGAGTTGTAAAAAGAGTTGGCTAAGAGTATGCCACGTGCAGGCTAGGTGTCTGGAGGAGGGGGTCTAAGAGGCAAGGGGGAGAGGATGAAAGAAGAGGCAGAAGAAGAAGCAAAAGGAGAGATGCCGTGAGAGACAGTGAGCAGGTTGGGAGCCAAGGGGGAATGTGAAGTTTAAGATTATGGCAGAAGGAAAACATCATTCTAAAGTTTTTCCTCTACCCACATGCACTTTAATGAGATGATGTATTATGTATTTCCCAGTCTTTTGAATCATAACCTTTACATTATACCGAGACCATTTGGGTTTTGTCTAGTCTGATTTATACAGCCTAAAACCATAGGGACTGTTTCTGCCATGGGCACCGTTGAATTCCTGGTGCTCAGGGGATGGTCAGCATCAATAAATATTTTTACACTTAATTCATGCCTAAAGTCCCAGACATCAAGTGCATCGCTAAAAATGTTCTTGGATTTTTTCAGGTTATTGTGCTTCTCTGATATTTTCTTTCCACAGTTATACAGATTTATCCAGAGGTTACTTAATTGGTAGGTTTCAGGATTGATTAGACAACAGGCAGGCAGTGCTAAGCTAATTAAGTATATATATATGTTTTGCAAATTCAGATTATGTTTTAGCAGCTGCCTTAATGATCATGATGAAATATCAAGTCTTAGCATTGAATATAGCACTGAAATATAGCACTGAAATACTATAACTTTCAATAACATTAAAAAACTAGTTTAAGAAAAATGGGAAACCCCAATGGCTCAAGAGGTAAAGAATCCACTTGCAGTGCAGGAGATGCAGGAGATTCCATTCTTGGGTCAGAAAGATCCCCTGGAGAAGGAAATGGCAACGTATTCTAGTATTCTTGCCTGGGAAATCCCATGAACAGAGGAGCCTGGCGGGCTACAGTTCATGGGGTCACAAGAGTCAGACACGACTGAGCATGCACATGCAATGAGAAAAAAAAAAGTAAGCAAAGAAAAAAATAAAGCAAAAAGAATTTCCCAGTTAGTTCTAGGAAACAGTTTATGCATGCCTTTCAATTAAGTGAGCTTAAAGTTTCCTTTTATCATTTCTATTAAGTAAAGGAAGTAGTCTTAAAAATTCCATTAAAAACTATTTTTTCTGTTTCTGTTTCCTCTATTTTTATCAGAAATATCTAACATATAATTATAAAACTCAGAACTTCCATTTTATTGATAGTTTAAAAAGCTCAAGTCCTTTTGATTCTCTTATTAAGCTTCGAATCTTATCGGTTGGTAAGGATTTGGCAAGTGTATAAGCTGATCTTGAGGTGTTTTTTTTTTAATATAACATTTTTTTTTAAAAAGATGAAAAAAGGTCTCAACTAGAGAGGGTATAAAAAAGTATTACCAGAAATAATGTATGAGAAGAATTCCATATGACCGTTGACAGACTGTCAACACACAGACCTTCTAACTAGTTCTATTCATATGTTTTATAAAAATCTTGTTTAAAATTTGGTTTCTCCAATAGTTTGCCTACTGTTGCCTATCTTTTCTGTGTAACACCCTTTGTTTTTTTCTAGGAAGCTATATGATTTGTGACCATTGCTAAATCAATTATGAATGAAAGGGAAGAGAGAAAGAGGTGCTACTTCACTTATCCAAATCATTGCCAACCTTGAATAATCTAATTCAGAATCCAGGGTGACATAATCATGGAAAAGAAACAAAGTCCAGGGAGGTTGAAATCATAAAATACTACTTATTTTAATATTAATAGATAAGAAGTTTCTTTAAAAAATATAAATTGGGAGCTATATGTTGGAGTGGAATGGACATGGTTTATAGTCAGACACATGTGGGTGTGGCTTCCGGCTACTCTACTGGTTGGGAAGTTACTGAACCCATCTGAACACCCATATCATCATCTGTAAAATTCAAAGAGCTCCACAGATATTGCTTCATTGCTCTGAGGGCTTAAATGGTGTATGCAAAGTTCACAGAATTTAGTAGGTGCTAAATAAATAGTGCTGCAGTCCATGCGGGGGACTGCTCTGTCCGTGGCGTGCTGCAGTCCATGGGGTCACCACGAGTCAGACCTGACTGAGCGACTAAACAGCAATAGCAACAAATAAATGGTAGGCATTATAAAGAAGTTTTCTGAATGCTAAAGCTCTTGGTGGCATTTTACAGTAGTTTTTTTGGATGAAATAGACCCTTGCTTTTTAGACTATCTGTTTCAGCACAACAGGAAGAATTCATTTAAAATGCAAGTCAGAGTTTGTCATGCCTCTCATCTCCACCAAGCCGGAGTAGAAGCTCCATCTCCCACGACGGCTAAGAAGACCTCTGCTTCTCCCCCCAGCTTGTCAACCTCTCCTCTGATGGAATACAGCCTTCCAATAAAAAGACATTCTTTGTTTCCAAACTTGAGTAGAGTGCGTTTCATGTAAAAATATTGTCTGATTCTGGGAGCTGTGTAGTTTCATTATCTTGTCATTTGAATTATATTTAATTGGTCTTAAACACTTGATTTTACTGTTGTTCAGAGAAAGGCTGTATGCTGGTGACCTCCACATTGCTCCCTTGGTATTACTATTTCCTGCAGTGAATGAAATGTTACAGTAAATTGTGTTCAGCTGAAGTTGTTTGTGAAAGCATTTTCAATGAATGACTGTGGGAAAGGATTTGATATTATAGCTTTTTGACTTTTCAGTTTATCTTCCCCCTCCTTTTTCTGGATAAACAACCATTTTTGGTTCTTGATAATTTATTTAGACAAACACTCCTTGGAGGTAGCACTGTTGGTAGATATCAGTTATAATGTATTTTCCAAATTAAAATGGAATATTTTAATCAGGAAAAAAACTATTGACAAGTGGACCTTATGGGGATGTATAAGGCCTTTCTAAGTAACTCTCAAACTTTGACCATAAAAGTTTCCTATTTCTTCAGCTACAAAGATAAAGGGGGTTGATTTTATGAAATAATACCTCTTTAAGGCTATATCCCTCATAGCTCAGTTGGCATCTGCCTGCAATGCAGGAGTCTGCCTGCAATGCAGTAGACCTGGGTTCGATTCCTGAGTCCAGAAGATCCCCTGGAGAAGGAAATGGCAACCCATTCCAGTATTCTTGCCTGGAAAATCCCATAGACAGAGGAGCCTGGCGGGCCACAGTCCGTGGGATCACAAGAGTTGGACACGACTTAGCAACTAAACTAAACTTAGCGACTTTAGCGACTTAGCCACCACCAAGGCTATAATTTAATAAAGGAGAATTTTGTAGTAAGAGGCTTTTCTTCCTTTCTCTCCCTTTTAGAGTGAACTATATCAGAAGAAATGAGCCTTTCATTCTGCGGTAACAACATTTCTTCCTATAATATCTATGATGGTGTGTTACAAAATCCCTGCTTTGTGGATGCCCTCAACCTGGTTCCTCATGTCTTCCTGCTGTTCATCACTTTCCCAATATTGTTCATTGGTAAGTAACCTACTGTCCTACAGTTCATCACCTAGTGGTTACAAGAAGAGTCTTTTTAATGGCTTGAGATTAGGTATAACGTTGCTGTAGCTTCTCCAGTGTGAGAACTAACATGTAAGTTCGTAGGAAAAGAATGAGCAAGTATTATATTTTCTGTTTTCCAATTACTTTTGTTTTTGGCTCTTGATATTCTATAGATAAGCTTCCCAGTTTGCTCCTGCCTGTCAATGTAGGAGACTTGGGTTCATTCCCTAGGTGGGTAAGATCTCCTGGAGAAGGAAATGGCAACCCACTCCAGTATTCTTGTCTGGGAAGTGCCATGGACAGAGGAGCCTGGTGGGCTATACAGTCCATGGAGTTGCAAAGAGTCGGACATGGCTTAGCGACTAAAGAAAAACAAAATTCTATAGATAAATAACAAAATTATTATTTTTTATTCTATTTATTTTTTTTAACCATGAGGCATGTGGGATCTTAGTTCACTGACTGAGGATCTAACGCAGGGTCCCTGAACTGGAAGCCCAGAGTTTTAGCCACTGGACAGCCAGGAAGTCCCCATAAGCCTTCTTAGAAATGGACTTTCAGTAGCAGCAGTTTCTAAAAAGAGGGAAAAAAATTATCTGAGATAGATCAAAAGTATTTGTTGAGTGCTTTCTTTGTGCTGGGTGAAGAGAATGGAAAATGGGTAAAACACAGTACCTACTTGGAATAGTCGCAGGAGTTTTCCAGTGAGATAGTAGGTCAAAAAGTCAAAAGAAATGCCTGTACCACCTTGTAAACACGTTTACAGATACAGGAACAAATTATCCTGAGCTTTAACCCACTGGAGCAACTAATTCTCAAGGCTGGTGGGGACTATGCAAAGAGAGACATGTTTGGGGACTTGAAAGATACAGAGAGTGCATGTAAAAGTAGGGTGTGTTTCAGGTAAAAGGAGTACATGAGCAAACTATTCAGCAAGAAGTTAACAATATATAGTTTGCCTATTTTAAAGTTTGAATGTTTATACACACAAAATCCAGTTATTTAGAGCGATTATGTATAATTTGTGTAACTTTTCCAAAACAACCAAAATAGACCTTAGAGCATTTTAAAATTATAAAATATTTTTTCATATATAAAAATGTAGAGACTAATATAATAAACATCTATTGACATTACCAAAGTCACTTTAAGGGATCTCATGGAATAAATACCATTTCCTGACCTACTTACTTTTCCCACATCCTGTCTTCCTATCCTTTTTTATAAAATGGAGAAATGATCAGACTGATTAAGAAATTCAGCATAATTTAAGGATCTGCTTTAAAGAAAGGTTTAAAAATAATTTGTAAGCTTCTTTTTCTTCATTGAACGAATCTTAATATAGAGATTACTATGAGCCTGGCATTCTAACAGTGACCAAAGGGTTTCACTTATATGACATACATTATGTAGAAGCTAACATAACTCTTGATATGTAATTATTCACTGCAAACAATGCATAGACCTAAGATATATTGGGACCAGAGTGGCCATACACTTGTTCTTGAATGTGTGGTGACAAATTTGTAACACATTAAGAATGTCCTCTGGACACAATTTTTGAGGCCCTAGCCTACTGTGTTCCCTCTTTGCCTGGCAAAGAAATAAAGCCACTCTTTTCTTCTCCATTAGAAAAAAAGAATGCCCTTAGGCCCAAAGTAGAGCATTCTTTTTTATTATATTTCTCTGGTTAATAATTCCTTTTTGACATCCAGTTAACTTACTAAGAGCAATTGTTATCGAACACAGAAGCTTGCAAAAGGGTATTTGAATCAATGGAATTGAAACTAACATTGTCGAAGAGAAATGGCTAAAAATGCAGACTATTTATAATGTTGGCTATTTGGGTTAGTGAGAAATCACAAATAAATCTCAAAGAAGTATCAGGTATAAGGAAAATTACAGTGATGCAAAGAAGGCCAGAGCCTGCCTGCAAGAGTTTAATAACATAAATCATAGTAGAATATGTTAAATGTAACTAATTTTCAAATAATGAAGTTCTTTTTGGAATAATTTAGAGGTGAATCAGTATTCTTTTCAAAGAATGCTTCAGGGGTCCATTTTGTCCAGAAACAGAAATTTCTTCTTCCAGTACTTTTAGCACTCATACCCCTCCCAACCCTGTTCATTCTTGAAGTTTATGGGACTTCTCTATATTTGAAAAATTGAGGGAAAAAAAAACAAAAAACAATGGTGACAAGAGACACAAGTAGGGTCTTGTCTTAGCACGTCATATATGAGTTGGCATTACGCTGTTTTTGAGGGGAAACCAACAAAATTTTCTAACATATAATCTGGTAACTTAATTTTTTTCTTCAATGAAGAGCTAAGGGTGAACCTTAGCTAATGTTCTTGAGCCTCCAAAGTCTCATCAATGAACAAAGCTTTAGCTTTCTTTCAGAAAATATCAGCAGCATCGTTGAATGGTGCCAGCTGAGTCGTAGGTTATCATTTTTATTCCATGACATGCATGTGAGTAAGAGTTGACACAGCCAGTGGACCCTGTATCTTGTCACCAAGTGTGGCCATTTTATTTTTTTGGTTAGGCCTCCCACAGATCCAATCTTTTAAAAGATTTGAGACTTTGAATTGCTTTTATTAACATCATCATTAATTTATGTTTCTTTTGAATGAGTGAGATCTGTGAATAAGAATTGTGATGAGCGTGAAATAACCAGGTTGTCACCCAGAGTTTGTTATTCCTGAGCTAGACAACAAAGTTGATGTATTAACTTAGGCAAGCTTGGAAGAATCCTTTGAAATTATTCTTTTTTTTTTTCTAGCATGACAAAAATAGAGAAGGATTTCTGTTGCTACCCTAGAAAGAAATAAGGTTTCAGGACCCCCTCTCCCCCATCCGCAAAGCATATCACAATGTAAATTATTTCTGTGATTATAATTGATTCCTTATTTCCTTACCTTTTCCTCTTTTTTTCAGGGTGGGGGAGTCAAAGCTCGAAGGTACAAATTCATCACAACACATGGCTTCATTTTCCTGGACACAACCTGAGATGGATCCTTACATTTGCCCTCCTGTTTGTGCATGTTTGTGAAATAGCGGAAGGCATTGTTTCAGATTCGTAAGTGACTCCATTTAGTTAATGGGATAACGCTATCCTGGTGGACATGTTGATATGGATAGTAGCTAAGAGCGTACCAAGTCAGCCTTAACTTTTTGGTTATAACGTATTAGGCACCACAGCAGTCACCATTTTATGCAGTAAATATGCATATTGTCCTGTGTGTTCAGTACTGTATCCTTTCTCTGCTAACACAAGTTCAGATCCCTGGGGTCTGTGCTCATTGCCATGCTTTCTGTTTCTTTATCTACATAGGGCTGGCAGAAAGTTTTCTCCATTTAAACACCTCAATGATTATCTTATTTTTCAAAACAAATATAAATGGTAAGAATGATTGTCTATATTAACATAGAGCTCTAACTGGTGTATTTGTTGTTCAGTCGCTAAGTCATGTCCTACTCCTTGCGACCCCATGGTCTGCAGCATGCCAGGCTCCCCTGTCCTTCATTATCTCTCAGAATTTGCTCAGATTCACATCCAGTGAGTTGGTGATGTTATCTAACCTTCTCATCCTGTTGCCCCTTTCTCCTCCTGCCCTCAATCTTTAAGAGCATCAGGGTCCTTCCCAATGAGTTGGCTCTTTGCATCAGGTGGCCAAAGTATTGGAGCTTCTACAGCATCAGTCCTTCCAATGAATGTTCAAGGTTGATTTTCTTTAGGATTGACTGTTTTGATCTTGCCATCCAAGTCTAATTTATTTATGTATAGATATATAACTAGTTCTCAGATATTTTGATTTATTTTGTAAAACTGCAGAGATAGATGAGGCAGGCGTTAAAAGAGTCTGAGAGTCAATGAGGATATGACTACAAATTGAGGCAGAGTACATAGTTATTTCAAAATCATGATTTGTGATAAAACCCCTATTTTTAAAGGAATTTTGTCTTTCTTATAAAAGAAGTTTATATTAAGCAGTTAGAATGTAATGAATTCTATTTATAAAGCTGAACATAATGCATGATACTATTTTTATTACATAATAATAGAAAATAAACTCAAATAATAGGAAAATTTCGATTATTATGCTAAATGGTGTATCTTTCATTGAAGAATTGATAGGAAAAGATCTTTGAAGTCTACGAAATGAAAGCTTCAAAACTCATTTTCTTCTTATCTAATAAGAACCTCCCCTGACATCTGTTTATGTTTTTCTGTTGTAATTAACAAGGAGTGAAACTTGGAGACTTTTGTCATGGAGCCATCTATTTTGTAATGTTTTATGACAGTTCTTTGCATACATGTGCACATCTTAGTTTCTGATTAAAAGAAAAATTAAAGACCCTAAGTCTCCTCTCCAAGCATTTAGAAGCTTATCAGCCATTGTTTTATTGAGAATTGCTTACAATTCTTTGGCATATTAACATTATGTTGTATTAGCATAGCCAATTTTAGTCTTCCTTTTTTAATTCCATTACCATATGGGCTGACTCTCCATGTTGTTATGTGTTTGTATAAAGTGGAAGATAGTAGAAGTCTCATGAGTCCTATGCTCCTCCTTTCCAGCCTCATGTTTGATGTGTAGGTTCAGAGACTTTAGGACAGAGGCTGAGGACATGTACTTATGGGGGAAACCTGTTTCACAGCGGTAGTGATGCAAGAGACCCATGCTTAAAACAAGCAGAAGTACCCTCTTGATCTTGTGTACCCTCTCCTGTTCTTTAGCTACAGACTCTTATCCTTGCCCTTTTCATCCAGAACTCCTAAAAAGATGTCTTTCAGGGACTTCTCTGATGGTCCGGTGGTTAAGACTTTGCATTCCAATGCCGGGGGCATGGGTTCGATCCCTGTTCAGGGAACTAAGATCCCTGCAAGCTAGGGTCTTGCTAAGGCAAGACCAAGGGGGAAAAAAAGACATCTTCCAGTATTTCTGAATAACTGGAAGATTTAGTTTAGTTTCTCTCTTATCTTGTCCTAGTCTGGAAGCTGCTTCTACAAGAGTGCCAAAGAACATTAATGACACTTTAGTGGGTATTTTTTCCTCTTTAACATACTTATTATATTAAGACCCTGCTGATTATGCCTTCCTTCTTTCTTTTTTTTAAAACAAAACTTTATGAACTATTTTTTACTTAAAATAGCACAGATGTTTACTGTAGTTTCACTGTAAGTGAAATAATGCAGACTTTCCTAATTGAATATTGGATTTTTTTTATTAATAGTAATACAAATATTAAAGCTATTGATTTTTCTTTTGAAACATCCTGTTTTACACAGGTTTTCATAAGAAGTGTTCTCTTTTTTACTTCTGCCTAAATAATTTGTAATTCTGGTGAAGAAATACTCCTAGGCCTAGGAATCATTTTTAGTTTGCTCTTCAGTATAATTTGATTAGTTTATTACCAAAGCATGTCATTCATTAAATGAATGCCTTTGGGAATTTATTAGCACTTTCAAGATAGTCAAATATTTGGTTTATTAATATAATTAACAAGCATTAAGAACTAATATATATTCTTTTTAGAAGACAAACTTTTATTGAATTTACTGATTGGATTACTGAAGTCCTTGTGTTGATTATCTTTTACTATTTAATTCTTCAAATTATAAAAGTGTGCATTAAAATCACTATTACTGTGTTTTCATTTAGGTTTTTATTTTCCATCATTTTCTCTTTTCTGAAATTGTTTGTTTTCTATGATATATAGTTGTTGGTTTTCTCTTGAACTAAAGATTTTCTACCATAATGGGATGTATATGCTTCAATACTATATATCTACCATTTGATTATATATATCAGAATGCTAAAGTGTGCAAATTATTCTCTAAAAATAGTAGTGTAGTGTAGTATTAGTCATTCAGTCGTGTCCGACTCTTTGTGACCCCATGGACTGTGGCCCGCCAGACTCCTCTGTCCATGGGATTCTCCAGGCAAGAACACTGGTCTGGATTGCCATTCCCTTCTCCAAAAAATAGTAGCGGTTAAAGGAAAGAATAGGGTTTGGGGCACCACTCAACCCTATACCACTTTGTAAGGAGAGCAGTAACACTATGAAAGGAATCAATAAAAGCACTAGTATGGTTAAAAATCACTAAAAACGAAATGCTATAAATATAAACCTGACTGTAGCTTCTGCTGTCTTTATTAACCCTTCATTACTGCCTTCCTTACTGCTGTTTTTCTTTTTCTAACCTCTTGAATTGACTACTTAATTTATTTATTATAATAATTTCATATTGAATTTGTTTAAGATTACAAACTTTCTTCCAGGTATGGTTTTAAACTGCATTATATAGGCCATCACAGATAATATGCTTATTTAAAAATTTTCTAAATATTAATTATTTTTTTAATTCTTTCTTTTCTTTAATAATTAAAGAGTATTAGAAGCATTTTAAATTTTTTACTGATGAAATATTTATTTTCTATTTTTTCTTTTTGATTATTTGAACTATTTCTGGGAGGTGGTGGGTGGTTTGTAAGCCAACTCTTACATGATCATAATATTATCACATTTTCATTATCCTGTCTGTATTCATGACTCCAAATCTCTGCATACACTTGCCTGTTAGACAGCTTCTTTTGCAGATTTATCAGAAACTTCATAATCCACACATTCCTGTTGAAACGTGTTAGCTTCCTCTCTTCAATGGGCTTTTCCTCTCAAAATCTAATTTGGTCGTACCATCATCTACTCAAGCACCCTGGGGATTATTCGCCCCATTGCCATCACCATCACAGTCATACTCAAACACTGTTAAAAGTCCTATCCATGTTGACAGTCTTTTCCGAAGGTATTATTTCCTCCATGTTACTGCTGCCAAAGCTTAACTTGGGCTTTCATCATCTCTCATCTGGTCTCTCCCCATAGCTTCCTAACTACTTTCCTTCCTTTGTGTCTCTCCTCTCACCTCAAACACGTATTACCTGTCAACTCCATTATTGATACTACTATTACCAGATTGATCTGTTTCTAAAACCCTAATCTGATGGTCCCACTTCCTTGTTAAAGTATTTGTGTTTTCTGCAAGATTAGATTTCAGCTCCTTGCCACAGCACATGAAGCCTTTCATAATATATCCAAACTCAAACTTTCTATTTAAGGGACATTAAGCTGCTTGGAATTTTGCCCATTCTATTCCCTGCTTATTAAGTGTTCTTCCACCAGTTTCCTGATGAGTGGATTCCCTTTTATATTTCAGTTCCCATTGTCAGCTATACCTCTCCTGAAATGACCTTCCCAAATTGTTTCTCTTTCCCGCATTCTCAGACTACTTACTTTCTTTTTAATATCATTTGTGTACTAATACATTTAAATCATTTGAGAAAATATAAATGTTTAGCTGTATGGCATTTTTACTACAAATGGAATTGAGGGCTATCTGCACATTGTCCTGGCATATTTCTGATCTAACTGAAGCTCTTTGTTGCCCTCAGAATGAAGTGTCATGTCCTTGCAGTCACACTGAATTGCTTGAAGTACCCTTGAATGTATGGGTTTCCCAGGTGGCTCAGTGGTGAAGAACCTGCCTACCAATGTAGGAGACGTGGGTTCGATCCCTGGGTCGGGAAGATCCGGTGGAGGAGGAAATGGCAACCCCACTCCAGTAGTCTTGTCTGGAGGACCCCATGGACAGAGGAGTCTGGTGGGCTACAGTTCCTGTGGTTGCAAAAGAGTCTGACACAACTGGGCGACTAAACAACAGCTTGAACATATCTAGACTCTCTTCTTGGAACAGTCTTCCTCTCCTTCCTCTGAGTAGCAGTTCCTCATTCTTAAGGTCTCAGTTTAAAATTCACTTCTTTCAGGGCTTTCTCTGTTTCAGGCGCTAGTTCTACATGAATTCCCAGTCCCTTCACCTATGTTAGAATTTCCTGTTTCCAGTTGTTCTTCTCAGCGGACTCTAGACTTTGTGATTACAGTCACTATATCTTATCTTATTCATTGTCATATCCCACCAGCTAATGCAGTGTCTGGACCAACAAACATATACGTGTGTTGAGTGAATTAATGAACGTGGAGAAATGATTGAAGACCATGAATGAGTGAGTGAGTGAGTGAGTGAAAGTCGGTCAGTTGTGTCCAACTCTTTGTGACCCCATGGACTAATACAGTCCATGGAATTCTCTAGGCCAGAATACTAGAGTGGGTAGCCTTTCCCTTCTCTAGGGGATCTTCCCAAACCAGGGATCGAACCCAGGTCTCCAACCCAGGTCTCCCACATTGCAGGAGGATTCTTTACCAGCTGAGCCACAAAGGAGGCCCATTGAAGACCATAACGTTTGGGAAAACTATCAAAAGAATAAATGTATTTTCACATACAATAGAGTTCATATTCAGTTTATTGTTTTTACTTGCTTTAGGTTAAATTATTTCAGCAGTTCTGCCTTTCAATATAGGAATAGTTATCTATTTGCTTTTGTTGTAAGCATTGTAATGTCTTGTTTAGCTGTATTTATCCAACCTTCCATGTTAGGATAAACCCTTTCAGCAGAATTATATTTCCTTGGGTGGCTCATTTCCTGGTGGCTCATTGGTAAAAAATCTGCCTGCCAATGCAGGAGGCATGGGTTCGATCCCTAAGTCAGGTAGATCCCTTGGAGAAGGAAATGGCAAACCACTCCAGTATTTTTGCCTGGGAAATCCCATGGACAGAGGAGCCTGGCGGGCTATAGTCCACGGGGCCACAAAGAGTTGGACATGACTTAGTGATTGAGCACTCAATGTAGTCTTCATTATCTGTTCGCTTAGCATTCTGTATGTAAAATACCTCATTCTGCATTTTAAATATTGGTAAGGGAGCATTTTAATGAAAAAAATTGGAAGCAAAAATGAGAAACTGTCTGGAACCTTCAGCCGTAGTCACTGACACTTTACCACTCTCTGTAGACGGCGGGAGTCGAGGCATCTCCACCTCTTCATGCCTGCGGTGATGGGATTTGTTGCTACCACCACATCCATAGTATATTATCATAACATTGAAACATCAAATTTTCCTAAGTTACTTTTAGGTGAGTATGATCAAGTGCTGTCCCCCCCCCCCCCCAAAGAACTATTTGATTTTCTTTTTCTTCAGAGTAAATGCTCTCAGCACTGGTTGGACTGGAAGGCATGGGAAAACCAAAATAATTAATTCTCTTTAGTCTCCCATTCAATGTGGAGATGACATCAGCTGTTTATTGCTCTAGGCTGTGAAAACTCTGTCCCCTGAGGACATCTAATGAGCAAGTCATCTCAGCTATTTCTGTGTATTTCTGCCTCTGGCTTGGGCGTCTTGAGGCATTTCCAAAGACCCAGGTCTTTCATGATGGATACTGTGGGCATGGCACACTCTTCTTGGGATTTCTGTCGAGACAGAAATAGGGGCACAGGGGGAGGCTCTTTGCAGCAGGGTGTGCTCCATTGTATGCTGACAACGACACTGTCCCGAGCAACAGCTGCCCCCAGAGCACAGCCCCTCACCTCGGCATCCTGCTTAGCATTCTTTTTTCTTTTTTTGGCTTTGAGTTGTTTTTTTTTTCATTTATTTTTATTAGTTGGAGGCTAATTACTTTACAATATTGTAGTGGGTTTTGTCATACATTGACATGACTCAGCCATGGATTTACATGTATTCCCCATCCCAATCCCCCCTCCCACCTCCCTCTCCACCCAATCCCACTGAGTCTTCCCAGTGCACCAGGCCCGAGCACTTGTCTCATGCATCCAACCTGGGCTGGTGATCTGTTTCGCTTTAGATAATATACATGTTTTGACCAGATATGAAAGAGACACGTGCACCCCAATGTTCATCACAGCACTGTTTATCATAGCCAGGACATGGAAGCAAACTAGATGCCCATCAGCAGACGAATGGATAAGGAAGCTGTGGTACATATACACCATGGAATACTACTCAGCCATTAACAAGAATTCATTTGAATCAGTTCTAATGAAATGGATGAAACTGGAGCCTATTATACAGAGTGAAGTAAGCCAGAAAGATAAAGAACATTACAGCATACTAACACACATATATGGAATTTAGAAAGTTGGTAATGATAACCCTATATGCAAAACAGAAAAAGAGACACAGATGTACAGAACAGACTTTTGGTCTCTGTGGGAGAAGGCGAGGGTGGGATGTTTCGAGAGAACAGCATTATTTTTTCTAAGCCTCTCTTGCCTTCTTGTCCTGTGGAAATCAGAGACTGTCTAAACTTTTCCCTATTTTATATCCTGCTTTATGCTGAAATGATTGAACTCATCCCCAGTAGTTATAATACTCTGATTCTTCCTTGCATTCCTTGGTGGACACTTTCATACAGAAAGCTGAGATGAAGATTACAGAACATGGATTATGCATGGGTTGCAGGGGCCTCCATGTCCTCTAAAATGGTAGGCAGGATTGTATGTGTTTGCGTGAATGTTTAGTTTTCTAAGGTTTATGGATTTGGTTTGATTGCTATTTGATGAAAATGACATCAACTACTGATATTGCAATTAGGAAAAGGAATAATTAAACCATGCAAATATTATTTTATTTGCATATCCAGCAGACATTAAAATTTGAAGTGAATAAGTGATAAGTGCTGTTTATTTAATTCTGTGTTGCATCACGTTATATGATGGTAAAGGTAATCAAACAACGACAAGTTGTCAAAATTAAAAATTAACTTAAAAGCCTTGTCCAAATCATAATTATCTTAATAGAAAGCTGTTTGGTTCAACATGGTAGGCAGATATTGTCAGAGAAATCTTTTGATACAGATGCCCAGAAAAGGCAACAGCAAAAATAAATGTAACATTGGGAATTTGATACTCTAGACAATGTTTCTGAAAAACTGATGAGTATATAAGAGTTATGAGATGTGATTAGAAAGGAAATGTGCATTTTAATAATATTTTGAGAATTTAGGGTCAAAATATTGCTCTAAATTTTTATGAATATACAAGGCAGAGGGCACAATCTGATCATGTTTCTGAAAGGACTTATAGAATTGTAAGAATTATAAGAATTATAAGGACTTACAGCTTATCTAACTTTTTGTTTACTTTAGGAGAGGAATATTTGGATCTAGAAGAGTCACACATTTTTAGAACACAGAACTAATAATTTTGTCCCAGCATTACATTATAAACACCACCAAACATACAGAAAATGGAAAGAATTATATGAATACTCATTTTCCTACCACCTAAATTCTTCTATTATTTTCTTCTATTTGTTTTATCAGATATCTACTTTCCTCTATTCATCCATCAATTCATCCTAATTTTTTGATGCATTTTAAAGTGTGTTGCAGGAATTGATATTCATCACTTCCTGATTATTTCAGCATGCACATTATTTGCTAAAGTTAAATATTTGCAGTTCTTTTTGTGAGATAAAATTTACATACCAAAGTACAGAAATCTTAATTTACTAAATGCACACAGCTGTATAACTCTGTAATGATCTAAAATGTTGCCCTCATCCTTGAAAATTTTCTTGTGCCCCTTACTAATCAGTCCTTTTTTCATCTCTGTAGAAGAGCATCTAATCTGATTTTTTCTCACTGTAGATTAGATTTGCCTGTTGTAGAACTTCACGTAGATTGAATCATACAGTGTAAACTCTTCTAAGACTACTTTCTTTCAGCAGTATTTTTGGAGGCTCGTCCATAATGTAGTTTCAGTTGTATTTTGTTCTTGTGATTCTTGGGTCATATTCTGTTATATACCACAAATATTCCATAAATATGCTACAGTTTTTCCATTCTCTTGTTAATAGCCTCCTGGACTGTCTCCAGATTTTGACTATCATGAAAAAAAAACAAGCTGCTATAAACATTCATGTGCAAGGGTTTGTGTGTGTGTGTGTGTTTGTGTGTGAATCTGTGTTTTATTTCTCTTGGGTACATACCTAGGAGTGGAATTGCCGGGTCAAAGGGTAAGTACATAAATGTTTATATTTGTGAGAAACTACCAGATCATTTCTCAGTGGTTTATTTTACACATACTAACAGCCTATGGGAATTCCAGTGGTTTCACATCCATTTGAAGATCTTGATTTTCTAATTTAGCCATGCTGGTGTTTACTAACACACTATGGTTTTAATTTGCATTTCCCTGATGACTAATGATCTTGAGCACTTTTGATGAGTTTATTGGCCATTTGTTATCTTTGTGAGGTGCCTGTTCATATTTCCTGCCCACTTTTTATGGGATTGCATTTTTATTATTGAGTTGTAGCAGTATTTTGTATATACTAGACACTAGTATGTCATTAGACACATGTTTTAAGAATATTTCCTTACCAGTCTGTGGCTTGCAAGCTCATTTACTTAATAGGGTCTTTTGATGAGCAGAAGATTTAATTTTCATGTGGTATAATTTATTATATTTTCATGTAAAATTACTGCTCTGTCTCTTAAGAAATCTGTGCCGTCCCTCAAAATATATTTCCCACATATACTCTTGTTTTATTTATTTTTAGAACCTTTATAGTTTCAGTTTTTATTTTAGGACTGTGATCCATTTGAAGTTATTTGTGTGGCTGGTATATACGGTTGGTGTCAAGTTACTTTTTTTCCCAAATGTATGTCTTATGTGTTTGAGCACCATTTGCAGAATAGACTTTCCATTTCTCATTGGATTGCTTTGGGACCTTTGTAAAAGATTAAAGCAAGGGACTGTTTAAATATAATCTATTTCTTGCCTCTATATTTTCCATTCCTTTAATCCATTCATGGACTTTTATGTCATCACTATTCTGTCTTGATTACTATAACTTTGGAGGTCTTGAAGTCGTTGTTTGATTATATAGCTTGTTTTCTTTGTTTTTCTCCCAAGACTACTTTGGAGAGTTTAGTTCTTTTTCATTACCATGTGCAGGTTAGAATCAGGTTATCAGTTTCTACTGAAAAAAAAAAAAATTCCTGGTGAGGTTTTGATAGGGATTGCCCTGAATGAACAGAACAATTTGGGGGAAGAAATGACATCTTAGAAATGTTGAGTCTTGCAGTCCATTATCTACTTTTATAGATCTTTCATTTCTTGTAGCAATATTTTTTAGATTTTAATGTAAAGCTTTTTTTATGTCTTGCTAAAAATTATTACTAGCTTTTTTGTTTACCATTGCTATTATAAATGGAATTGTATTAAAATTTTTATTTTCCAATTGTTTTACCACTGTATAAATGCAGTTGGTTTTGTATATTGACCTTGCATCTTGCTACCTTGGAAATTCAATTAAAAAATAATTAAAATTACTTTAACTTATTTCTCTGTAAGTTTTTTGGGATTTTCTATATAAACAAACATACCATCTGAAAATAGAGGCAGTTATATTTGTTCTTTTCAAACTTTATGCTTTCTTTTTTATTTTTCTTGCTGTATTGCACTAGGGAGAATCTCTAGTAAAATGCAGAATAAACCTGGTGAGAGGAAATCCTTATCTAGCTCCTGATTTTAGAGGAAAAGTAATCTTTTGTACTTGATTACAGAATTGGTATAGACTTTTTATATAAGACTTTATCAAGTGAGTGAGTTTGCTACTATGGAAAGCTTAGCTTTCTCAGAGGTTTCTTTTTTAAAAAAGAAACCTGTTGTAATTTATTGACAGACTTTTTTTCTGCATCAGTTGTAACTGTTATATTTCTGTTAAGGTGCTTCTGCTGATGTTCACTGATTGATTTTTCAAATGCTAAAGTAACCACGCATACTGGACTAAGCCACATATGGTCATGGTTTGTTTTCCATGCTATATTTTGCTAGAGTTTATTTGTTAGGGTTTTTACATCTATCATGAGGGATATTGGTTGGGTTTTTTTTTTCTCAAAATAATTTTGCCAGGTATTTATATGTTGGGATACATAAATGAATTGGAAAATACTCGCTATTTCTATTTAATGAAGGACATTGTGTGAGATTAATTTTATTTCTTTTTTAAAAATTCAGTAAGATTCATCAGTGAAGTTATCTGGGCCTGTAGTTTTAACTAAGGAGGGATTTTAAATTATAAATTTATTTCTTTGTTACAGACTCTTCGGAGTATCTGTTTCTGTCAGTTTCGGTAGCTACAGTTTTTGAGAAGATTTCTGTTTCATCTACATTTTTTGATTTATTGTCATAAAGTTGTTCAAGATACTCCCTGATTATCCTTTTTAAGTACATAGGAGATATAGGGATAACTTTTCCTTTATTCCTAATATTGGTCATTTGTGTTGTTTTCTCGATCAGTCTAGCTGGGGACTTATCAATTTTCTTGGTCTTTTAAAAAATCAACCTTATTGGTTCATTTTCTCAATTATTCTTTTTCTGTTTTATTGCTTTTTACTATTATCTCTCATTTTTTAGTGTTGTTCATTGTTCTTTCCCTACCTTTTTAAGGTGGAAACTTAGATCATTGATTTTTGGATATGTCTTTTTTTTTTTCCTAAAATAAATATCTAAAGCCATAAAGTTTCCTCTCAGTATTATTCTAGTTACAATTCCTAAATTTTCAATCTGCAGTATTTCCATTATAATTTAGTTAAAATATTTTCTAACTTCCTTGGTAATTTCTTTTTTAACGTGTGGTTAATTAGAAATGTATTGTTTAGTGTCCAAATGTTTGGAGATTTCTAGATATCTTAGTGTGTGAAAATGCCCCTTCCATTACCTCTGGCTGATGTTCACACTATATGATCCTCTACCCTTGAGTGTGAGTGGACCTGTGACTTCCTTCTAGCCAATAAGGTTTGGCAGTGATGAAGATACCACATCTGTTGAGATTGCAGCCTTTGTTCATATCTGGATTAATTCAAACAAAATTATCTGAAAATAGAATATCTTAAAATGTCTTTGTTATTTAAAAGTATTGTATTTATTTTGAGATTTCAGTAAAATTTTTAAAAATAGCAGTGACAGGTTGTATTTTTTCTTTTTCTGTTTGATTTTCCAGCCTTATTCCTGTATTGGGTAATGGCCTTTATCACAAAAACCATAAAGCTGGTCAAATATTGGCAGTCTGGTTGGGGAATATCAGACCTGCGTTTCTGCATCACAGGCATAATGGTCATTTTGAATGGACTCTTAATGGCTGTGGAGATCAATGTCATTCGGGTCAGAGTAGGTATCTAATAATTTTTGTTTAGTTACTGGAATTCAGAAGCAAATATTAAAGATCATGGTCAGCTTGGCATCATTAGTATTCAAGAGCTTATGCAATGATATATCATTTATATGTACAAATATAAAGTTGAACAATTACTAAGTTCAGACCATTAGTTTTCCAGAAATTGCAATATGTCCCTGGAATCTATTGATTCATTCGCAAATATTGATTGAGTGCCTAGAATGTGCCAAACATTATGCTTAGTCCGTATTATAGATTTAACTGTTTTCATCAGGAAGTTCCATCACCTGTAATTGGTCCAAAGCAAACCTGGCTCAATCAAATTAGTGTGTTCTCAGAAATGTCAAGCTGATAAGAAGATAGCTTAATCCACTTTCCTCATTTCATTGATGAAGAAACTTCTGTAGACAGAACACTAGCTTTATAAACAAATTAATACGACCAAATGTCATACCCGGTCTGTGATTAGAAACCTATTGTACTTCCAGCCGCATAACACTGCCTGTTACATTGTGTGACATACCAGTGATCTGTTTTTCAATGTTCATTTTCTGTCAGAGCACTCTGAATTTGCTCTGAATAGGATACATGTTGCAATGGATAGTGGAAACAGTAAACATCAGCCAGACCACAAATTAATAGAGAGTGACTCAACGATGCTGTTGATAAAACATTTAAGCAATCTGCACATGTGTAAAAATCTTCATTTAGTTGACCAAATATCATGAAATATCAGGAAAGGATATCATGAAAGACTGATTTTTAATGATAACTCTTTTTTAAAGAGATAATTGATTTTTTTTAACATTCGCCTAAGTGTATTAAATATGAAATTCTGGAATTTAACTAGAATCTAGTCATAATAAAAGGGAACTTTTTTCTCAAAAGAATATTTCAGAAAGGGGAAAGAAGTATGAAAATATAAAGATTGGCCTCATGAAATGAAAACGTAAAAAAGGTTAAAAATTTGTTTTTACTATGTGGGAAAAGAATTAGGTTAATTGTTACTCTGGAATTTTTCTTACCACAGAGATATGTGTTCTTCGTGAATCCGCAGAAAGTAAAGCCCCCTGAAGACCTCCAGGATCTGGGTGTGAGGTTTCTCCAACCATTCGTGAATTTACTGTCCAAAGCAACCTATTGGTGGATGAATACACTCATCATATCCGCTCATAAAAAGCCTATTGATCTGAAAGCAATTGGAAAATTACCAATAGCAATGAGAGCAGTAACAAACTACGTCTGTTTGAAAGATGCGTATGAAGAACAAAAGGTAAGTCAGTAACTGTTTTTCATGCCCATGACTGTAGAGAAAGGCACTAAACTTAAATAATGTTAAGCTTTTGTTGTTTAGTCGCTTAGTCTTGTCCGACTCTTTGTGACCTCATGGGCTGTAGCCTGCCAGGCTCCCCTCTCCATGGGATTTCCCAGGCAGAGAATACTGGAGTGGGTTGACATTTCTTTTCTCCAGGGGCTCTTCCCGACCCAGGGATCAAAGCCCTCTCCTGCATTGCTGGTGGATTCTCTTAAATAACAGTAAATAATATTTAGGGAGAGCAGATTTTCTCCATCTGTCTTTCCCAGTAGTTTTGAGTCATGTTAACTGGGCTGCTGGAAATATACTGGAAGAGCCAATGAAATATATTATGTTAGTTGCCCAGTTCTACATGAGGAGGGACAGAGAGTGCTGTCTTTTCTCTGGCACCTAATGGAAAGTAAGAATTAAAATCAATAGTCATGTATGTCAAATCCTTGTCACCATATAATGTTAATAATCCACAGAGTTTTCATTGTTTTGTTTCAAGTATCTTAATAATTTTATTATTTAAAGGGGAAATAGATCATATCCATGAATAACTTTTGAGAAATGAAATTCTTGATTATTAATTAAAATTTGGACTCTGCATTTCAAAATTGGGGAATTAAATAAAGGGGCTTCATCTGCCTATTCCATATATCACTCTATATGTCTGGCAAAATTGATTTCTTCTGGTATTTTCTGCAGGTATTTATAACTGCCTTTAAAAATTTTAATATGAGACTCTTTGGATATTTTCAATTTGTCTTTTTATCATTCTGAGTAGTCTTGTGTGCTATTCACAGTGGAAGATGTATTTTATATTGCTGTTACCTACAAATATTATTGTAATTAAAATATGAATACTTATACCAACATTGGAAGGGAGTACTGTGTGGTGGATCAGTTAAAGAGTTTTTGGCTGTTCTAAATCTAGATCAATGAAGCATTTATGGTAAATGATGAAAATGACCTCTGTTTTGTGTAAAAAATGTGTGTTATGAAATTAATAATCCAGGAAATGATTACTACAGATGAACCTGAGTCATCTCTCTGGTTTCACCTCTGGGAAAAGTATTGCATAGTTTTTTAAAAACTTCTAAATAAAGATGAATAATATAGTCTAAGCATAGCTTTAGTTTTCTGAATGCTCTTGATAACAGATTTGCTTAAATATCAGTAAGCTTTAAAATATAATCGAATTATTCATCTCACGAGGAGTTGAATACGAAACACAGTTGAACTCTACTGCATTGAGTTAGCTTCTTTGCCAAGACATAATTATGATTGTTCAGGTCTTGAAATCTTTTCAACAAATTATTATAGAAGTATGATGCCACGAGTTGGCCTAAGCAGATATACCATTCTTCATTTTGTGTCTCTTTAAGTAATAACTAGGAAGCATAAGTCTAACATAACTTTAAAAAGTATTGACCACATTTAATGGAGATAGGAAAAAGCAATTTGAAGCTGGGATTGATCTCAGAGGGAGAACCTGAAGAGACAGGAGCGATCCTGAAGGGTGGATTCCCTGCCCGGTAATTAAACCTGGGTAACCTGGATGAAAACCAAGAGTCCTATCCACTAGGCCACCAGGAGTTAGAGAAAGCATAGTGGCCCTGGCTCTTGCCCCTATTTGAAAGCAAGAATGTTTCAAGGAGGGAAAAACTGTAGTAACCGGTACAAAGTTTATTATTAGAGGCATAGCAGAATGCATGGGAGAGCATACAGGAAAACAGTTTGCTTATCTAACTCAGAACCAGGGCAGAGATACACACCCAGAGAAAAAGGGTATGGGCATCCTCTCTAGTGAGGAGGAGGGCAGTAAGTCAGAAGCTAGGCAGAGAGACACACCCAGAGAGGAGGTGGAGCATCCTGAGTGAGGAGGAGCTCAGTACAGAAGTGATGTAAATCACTTACATAGAACAGTCTCTCTGGGTCTTTGTTTACCTTTGGCCAATTACTTTCTTTCTTTCTTCACCCCTGACTGGCCCATGCACCCTCCCCAAGATGTGTGAGCAACTTTTCTCTAAGGTGGATCCCACCGCAGAGGCCTATGTGTGCATGTCCACACTTATGGGGAGGGTTCCCCTCCCTTTTCAACCCCCAAGAAGCCTTCCAGCACATGTGCAGACAGGGAAGTCTTCCTTGACCTCAAGAGTGGGCACTTCATCTTTTTGCTTTAGCAGAGTTCAGCTTTTGCTACTAGCTTTGTCTTTGGAGCGTCTGGGTGAGAACCAAAGCTCCACTTGACAAACACCAGGTGTCTGGCCCAGAGGCACATGGTCTCCTACCTCAGGATGATCTCTTTTGTTTAGCTTGTAATAATTTGATAAGTGAATCTCTTGTGACCTAATATCTTAGATCTTAACTAAACTTCAGAAATCTTAACTAGACTGTCAATAACCTGTACTTTGTATTTCACTATTTTCCATATAGCCTCATTTGGTAATATTCATAACTGATATAGTCATTTCCTGAATCAAAGGGAATTAAGCTTAATTTGGACTTTGGAAATTTAGGGTCATCCTTTGACAACTAAAAATAATACAAATGTTGGGAAAATGTGCCTAGATACTCTTCATTCTCTTTCTTTCCTTAAAATGCATTCAGTAATGCATATTTATGGAATCTAGAAAAATGGTGATGAATCTATTTGCAAGAATAAGAATAGAGATGCAGACATAGAGAAATGGACTTGTGGATAGAGTGGAGAAAGGAGAGGGTGGGATGAATGGAGAAAGTAACATTAAAATATATACATTACCATGTGGGAAATAGAAAACTAGTGGGAAGTTGCTATGTAACACAGGGAGCTCAGTCTGGTGGTCTGTGATAACTTAGTGGGGTGGGATGGGGGTGGGTGAGAGGCAGGCTGAAGAGACAGGGAATGTATGTATACTTATGGCTGACTCACGACCTTATACAGCAGAAATCAACACAGCATTGTTAAGCCATTAAGAATTAAATACATATATTACATACATATAAAGTTTTGGAATGTGTTCACAATTAAAATAACTAGCTAAATAAATGGAAATATATACTTAAAAATTAATTGTCTATTGGTTGCAAGAATGCAGAAATACCAAACTGTATGTAGTATATTGAAAGTAACTCGGTAACATTTATTTTTATCTTTTAAAATATAAGAACTACTAGAAGAGATTTCCATAGTGGCTAAGATTAATTGCCACTCTGTCACTTTATTTTGGTTCATTTTTTTTTTCTTTCAGAAAAAAGTGGCAGATGACCCAAATCGGACTCCATCTATATGGCTGGCAATGTACAGAGCTTTTGGGCGACCAATTCTACTTAGCAGCACGTTTCGTTATCTTGCTGACTTATTGGGTTTTGCCGGACCTCTCTGTATTTCTGGAATAGTTCAGCGTGTAAATGAAACCCAGAATGAAACAAATAATCCAACAGGAGTAAGTTTGTGGTGCCTTTGAATGGAAATATATTATTGGCAAATTTCTTTTAATCGTTACTTTTAAAAAAATGCAGTTTTATGAGCAGTGCAAACAATCTTATTAACAGAGAATTGAATGCTTTTTAAAAGAAAGAAAACTGTAATTTTCCTTGAAGAGAAAAACATTACTGTATGTATTCATTGAATGGATTTGGCCAACAAAATTATTTCTCAGATTCAGAGGCTATAAACATTTAATAGCATTTACTGTGTTCTGCAAATGATTTTCAGAAATTTCACATTTGTTATTTTATTAGATCTTTTTAGCAGTCTTGTAAAGAATTTTCATGCATGGTCCTTGGGGGTGGGTCGAGTCACTTTTTTTTTTCCCTGATGGCTCAGATAGTAAAGAGTCTGTCTGCAATGTGGGAGACCTGGGTTCGATCCCTGGGTTGGGAAGATCCCCTGGAGAAATAGCAAACCATTCCAGTATGCTTGCCTGGAAAATCCCATGGACAGAGGAGCCTGATAGGCTATAGTCTATCGGGTCGCAAAGAGTCGGACATGACTGAGCGATTTCACTTTCAATGGCCAGTGATGTGGGCAATGTGATTTGATTTGGTTTCCTATATAGTGAAAGCCATCACCTTGTTTCATAATGATCAGGCCAAGTCACATTATATTTTTATTAGACATTATGTTACTATTGGGGACTATATAGTGTAAAATATCTGCTGTTATAAATTTACAACCTTATATTTTCTATTCTTAAGAAGGCCTGCCTCATGAGCTTCCCAATTTCCTTCTAAAATAAGAATTGATTTCCCTAGTTTCACGTGTAGAAACTCTAGTCCAGATGAATTAGTTTTCCTTTTTTATTGTCTCAATCTGATTTCCAGTCCTCTTTTTTTACCTATTGGAATTGTACACATTCCTAAAGCCTTCAGCAAATGCTGCCTTCTCATTGACGTGTTTTCTGATTGTCCTTGTTGGTGGAATTTGATTCTCCTTGGTCATCTCCTAACACATTGTTCACTTCACATTGGCACTTGCCATAAATGCTATTTATAATGAAACCTGTTATCTATGGATATGCTTATCTTTCTAGGTTGTGAGCTCTCTGAAGAGAATGACTATGAAGTTCCCATTTTTGCCCTCAAAACCCAGTTCCTTGAATATATTAGTGCTCAATTGTTACTAATGTGAACCAGCTATTTTACCATTGAATACATGTTTGTGATGTTTTATCCCTACTGGCCTGTTATATACAGATATTGAAATCCCACATAGTATCCAATCATCCCTGTACTTACGTGTATTAACCATGTATTTTTCTGAGAAGGAAGAAAATATACACACCTGTGTGTGTCCCCTGGAAAGACGAGGAAGGGACCAGAAGTATTTAGAATTTAACTGATTGAAACCATAAAAAAAAAAGTGGCTCAATTGACATGTTGTGTTTATCTGTTACTTTTCCCTCATTTCTAACAAATAAGTGACCATATCCTACTGTTACAAACAAAAAGCTATCATTTGTATATTCTTATGGTGACTTCAGTTATAATCTGACTGAAATAGTTTTTAAAGTTATATTTTGTCACTGAAATTGTCTTGTGGGCAAAATAGCCAATTTATGTTTTTTTACCATTTATAATTTATGTTTTCATTATATGAGTTAAGATGAAGATCAGAAAAAGTCAACTGTGTAGACTTTATTATTTTAAATTAATAAGGCTATGGAAATCGTATATTTGTCCCATTGGTCTTGCTGACATTGTAGGTTCTACTTCTAAATTACATACAATCTAAACTAACTTCTGTCTTGGTTTACTACTAATATTTTCCAGTTAACCAAGGTAGACTATATCTTTGTAGAAAATTATTAACTTAAAAAAATTTAGATGTACCTTTTTTCCTACAATCAGGCATTTCCAACAATCATAATGATCAATTTGAAATTTATGTTCAACTGGTTTGTGTTTGTATCTGTTGACATTATGAGGAAAAGCCAAAATTGCCTTGCTCTGATTCATTTTACTGCTGTGTTATAAAGACATTGAATTTTTATATTAAGCAACCATGTATTATTTGATAAATGCAACTATATACTGGTATATGAATAATTTTAATTTATATCTTTTTTTTTCCTTTTGGGATAAGGCTTCAGAAATCCTCTCATCAAAGGAATTTCTTGAAAATGCTTATGTTCTAGCAGTTCTTCTGTTCTTGGCTCTTATTCTGCAAAGGACATTTTTGCAGGCTTCCTACTATGTGACCATTGAGACTGGCATTAACCTCCGTGGAGCCTTGCTGGTATGTACAAGCTCTGAAGGATCCTGACCACAAACCATTCAGTGATAGGAATAGTTGAGAATTCAGTTTTGTTTTTCTCCTTCCATTTTCAGTTTGATATTATGACATCAGTACTTTCAGGATCTACTTAATTAAAAAAAAAACCTATAAAGCTGATTAATAAACCCACTGAATTAAAAATACTTCTAGTAATATATTAACATATTTTGAAATCTTGCATTTATTTACTTCTGTTACTGTTTGTTCCAGAGATTATGTTTAAATTTGAATGTATGTTGAGATTATATCATCAGGAAAAGTAAGTTTGTATTTAGTTGAGGACTAAAAGTACCAATGCTGAAATAAAAATAATAGCTGACTTAAAATGGCATTATAAGGTTATTTCCTTTTTTTCAGGAAATTTAAAAATGTTAGTTTTTTCTATGCAAATAAATAAGCATAGTGTCGATTTTTAAATTTTGAGCTTCAAATATGTTTTCTTCCCTTTTTTGCAGGCCATGATATATAATAAAATCCTTCGGCTTTCTACATCTAATTTATCCATGGGTGAGATGACCCTGGGTCAGATCAACAACTTGGTCGCCATTGAAACCAATCAGCTCATGTGGTTCTTGTTCCTGTGTCCCAATCTATGGGCCATGCCTGTTCAGGTAGATCAATATAAGTAAGATTCTTATTTGTTGAGGAAATAATAAGAAATTATCAGTTTTTAAATGTGTTTGCTTTTTCATTTGAAAAGCTAATATAATTCCAAGAAAATATGGAATGCTGATTTATGGTGGATGACAACATTTTCCAGAAAAAGTTTGTGTCCTTTAAAAAGTTTGCAGACTGTTTCTGGTCAAAAGCATCTTGGGACCCCTCTGCAACTTCATGTAGTAAATTGGTTCGACACCAGTTGTACACATCATGTTGCTAAAAATAAATTCCTACTGCTTAGCCTTCCCCAGATAAATCATCATGAAATCCTACTGTCACAGCTGAGTTGACTTCCAAATAAACTTAATAGTCGTTCAGTTGCTAAGTCATGTCCAACTGTTGGCGACCCCATGCACTGCAGCATACCAGACTCCCCTGTCCTTCACTGTCTCCCAGAGCTTGCTCAAATTTTAAAACTTAATAATTAAGAAATATGACAATTTCACTAAAAAGTACTTCCTTTTATGCAGTGGTCCCCGCATCCCTGTCCTTTCACCTCTTGTCTTGTGCTTTCCTTCAGATCATCATGGGAGTGATTCTGCTCTACAACTTGCTTGGGTCCAGCGCTCTGGTTGGTGCCGCTGTCATTGTGCTCCTCGCGCCAATTCAATACTTCATCGCTACAAAGTTGGCAGAAGCTCAGAAGAGCACTCTTGTAAGTAACATCTCTTGGAAACCTTATTAGGAAAATCTAGTAACGTGGTTTCATTTTTAAATATATAGGAAATTAATACCACTCGGGGTTCTTTGGAAATCATTAGATTGAAATGAAATACCAATATTTCTTTTCCTTTCTTGGGCAGTGAATGTGCATGTTCTGGGTTGCACAACAGGTTTTAAAAGTGGATTTGACATCTAAGATTTAATGACCTTAAACGCTAAATACCACCACAAAGCCTGATGTTTTTACAAATCATGACGTGATGATGAGGCTTTAGATCTTATAGATCACTTACTTACACTTAGCATGTACTAGAGAATACACTTACTTGTGCATTTGATTACATGTATATTGGATGTCAATTACTGACGTGGGACAAATGGATCAAGGAATAAATAAAGGGTCAGATTTAGTGCTTCTGAAATTAAATACTCTCAGGGTTGAGTCAGACCACGTGATGAGCTACGGAGTTACACTGAAATGTTTCAGTAGCAGCTGCTCTGCCTGAGTGCGTTCATGGTCAACTTGGCAAGCAAGAAAAAGCTCAGTTATTGCCCCTTTCTGGCTTCAGTTGGGTTTCCCAGGTGGCACAATGGTAAAGAATCTGCCTGCCAATGCAGGAGATGCAAAAGATGATCTCTGGGTCAGGAAGATCCCCTGGAGTAGGAAATGGCAACCCACTCCAGTGTTCTTGCCTGGAAAATTCCATGGACAGAGGAGCCTGGTGGGCTGCAGTCCATGAGGCCGAAAAGAGTTGGACACAACTGAGCGCACGCGCGCGCGCACACACACACACACACACACACACACATACTCTGGCTTCAGTTTGCCATGAAATCATTTTATTTGAGCAAGAATTGGCTTCTTTTAAAGAAATATTTGCAAATAATTATTGACATCATGTTTAGAAATAAAGTTTGATTAAATATGAGCAAGTTTGCCTACAAATCAGGCATGAAATGTAGAGATGCTGCCCCTGGCGGACCGTTTTCCAACCTGGTGTTTCCACTGCGGCAGGCAAGTCCCTTGCCACGCAAATGGTTTTTATCACATGTTTTTCTGCTGCTTCTGGTGAGGTTACTCATTACTCTAGGAAGTGAATACAGAAAGGTGTGGAAGAGAGACACAAAGAGGGGACATGACAATCTAACATCTGACTCTCATGTTGCCATTCATACTGTCCTCATTCACTCACCAGCAATCATGGATAGGCAGTTAAGAGCCTCAAGAGACAAAAGATGAATAAAATCAGATCATTTGCTAATGCCATTTGCAGCGAAAGGGATGTGATGAGATTATCATCATACCAAATGAAGTAAGTCAGAAAGAGAAAGACAACACTTATGTGTGGAATCTGAAATATGACACAAGTGAACCTATCTATGAAACAGAAACAGAATCAGGAACATAGAGAACAGACAGGTGGTTCGCAAAGAGAAGGGCTTGGGAGCAGGATCGAGTGGGAGGTTGGGGTTAGCAGATATAAGGTTTTATATACAAAATGGATAAGCAACAAGGTCCTCCTGTATAGCACAGGGAACTGTATTCAATATCCTATGATAAACCGTAATGGAAAAGAACATTTAAAAATAATGTGTATATATATATATATATAATTGAGTCACTTTGTTGTACGGAAGTAATTAACACAATACTAAAACTCAACTATACTTCAAAAAAATCAGATCATGCGCTGCTTTTGCTTCTTCCTATCTACCTTCTGCCACTCTGCATTTCCTTTTAAGAGTTCACAGGTGATACTGTACTTTCCTAGTAAATCTAATAGAATTTGGAGGAAGCTGGAAGAGTTGACTGAAGAGAGGCTTTTGTATCAGCCATGTCTCTACAGTTAATCCAAGTTGTTAGCAATCAGTAAATCTAATTTAGCAATATGTGAGACCAGGTTTGATCCCTGGGTCGAGAAGATCCCCTGGAAAAGGGAATGGCAACCCACTCCAGTAGTCTTGCTTGGAGAATCCCATGGACAGAGGAGCCTGGTGGGCTACAGTCCATGGGGTTGCAAAGAATTAGACACAACTGAGCAACTAACACAACACAATAACAACAAAATCTAATTTAGGCTCTGTGACAGAGCTTACGAAGAAGGAGGTAGGAATCTCTTTAAGATAATAGGCTTGGTTTCACTAAGTGTCTTATGAAGACTCACTGTGAATACACACAACAGTGTACACTCACATTCCCAAATCAATAGTGACCTAACTTTTTTTTACATTCATTATTTCTCATCTCCTAAGCATGACTTATAGAGCTGAGGGGAGAATTAAATGATTTAGGTATGAGAAAGCACCCTTGGAAGTCTCTTTATCAACTCCTTACATGTCTGTGTCTGTTATCTGCAGACATCGTTCAAGGAAATCATATGAAACTTAAGACACTGTTCTTATTTAAACCAAAGCAAAAGAGGCATAAACAGTTTCTAGGTGGAAAGAAATTGGAGGCTGTCTCATTCATCTCTTCATTTTCACGTTGGAGGCAGAAGCACAGAGCTTCACTATTTCTCCTAGGAGTCTCACAACCATCATTAGAGCCCAAGCCAGGCAGAAATCAAGTTCTTCTCAATCCATATCCAGTAATGGCCTTGCCTCTCTGATTCACTTGGATGCAGCTTGCATTGTTTTCTATTCCTTCCTTTTATAGGATTATTCCACTGAGAGACTGAAGAAAACAAATGAAATACTGAAAGGCATCAAACTTCTAAAGCTATACGCCTGGGAGCACATCTTTTGCAAGAGTGTGGAAGAGACAAGAATGAAAGAACTCTCCAGTCTCAAAACCTTTGCTCTTTATACATCACTCTCCAGTAAGTTGCTATCGCTCTGAGGACCACCAAAAACATGTGGTCTGTTTGGTGTGACTTAGGATCATTGAGACACTCTAGACATCAGAGGAAGTACATTTATTTTCTCCATTTGTGAGGTTCTGTAGCCACTAGCTAAACAAGTTTATTTAAATTTAATTTATTTTTGATGTGGACCATTTTTAAAGTCTTTTTGAATTTGTTACAGTATGGCTTCTGTTTTACACTTTGATGTTTTGGCTGTGAGACATGTGGAATTTTAGCTCCCAGACCAGGGATCAAACCCACACCTTCTGCATTGAAAGGTGAAGTCTTAATGACTGGACAGCCAGGGAAGTTCCTATTTAAATTTAAATTAAAGAGCAAAGTCAGGATAAGCTTAAAGTCAAGTAGAACTGAATTTGACTCCTTGCAAGTTTCTATCTTTGCCATGTTACTTGACATCTGAAATCCTTGGTTTCTTCATCTGTAAGATGGGGATGGTAATGATTAGGAGTCTGATCATTGAAACCCTCATTTCAGTTGCAGTTGGGATGCATAGTGGGTTTTCAGTAAAATTTTGCTTATAGAGAATAGACTTGTGGACCCAGGAGGAGGAAGGAGAAGTTGGAACGAATTGAGAGGATAACATTGAAACATATACATTGCCATATGTAAAATTAGGTAGCAGTGGAAATTTGCTATATGACACAAGGAGTTCAAATCCAGTACTCTGTGACAATCTGGAGGAATGAAATTGTCACTCCTCTAGAGGAAAGTGGAAGGTGGGAGGGTGGTTCAAGAGGTAGGGGGCATATGTATACGTATGGATGATTCATGTTGATATATGGCAGAAACCAACACAGTATTATAAAGCAATTATCCTCCAATTTTTAAAAAATGTAAATTAAAAAAAAATATCAATTGGAAAACTATAAATAAATAAATTGATTTGGCTATATTACTATTGATTTTATCCCCTAAAATCCTTAAAAATCATCTGCGGTTGTCTTCCCTGTCTCTTGGGGAGCTTATGATATTATATTTCCTTGAAGATTGCACTTGAAATGCCAGTTTTGGAAACTGAGAGGAAAAAAGTCAACATTTCCAGGTGAAAAAAGCCAAACTGCATTTACATAAAACCCTATTTTTCCAGTACATTCTTAAGACTTTTTAAATACAAAGCTTTTCCTCCACAACTCTAATTTTTAAAACATGATTGTTTCAAAAATATTGTTGTTGTTTTCCTCAAAGGGTGACACTGAGTACTTGTAAGAAGAATGAGTTCATGTTAGTAGAATTCTTATGAACTTAGCCAAACTACTCCCACTAATGTTTGATTTAGTTTGTATGTCAGTTTTGCTCCTTTCTATTGTTCTCAAGACTTTATTTGGAGGTTTATAGATGGTTTCCTCTTGAATTCTAAACTACTTGAGTCCTTAGAGATTATAAACACTTCTTTTGTGAAATGGATGTAAGGAAAGTGTTTGGTTTATATAGCTCATTTATTTTAGCCCTAATGCTGGATTCATTAGAAAGGAAACGGGAAGGAGATTTATATTCCAGCTCTGCACCACGACTCATAGAGTGTCAAAATGCTAGAAGATGAAATGATTGATATCTACTTGCTTATATGATAGAACTGTAAGCTGCTGGCTCCTAAATCTATTTCTGTCTGCAGTATACTAAAGTTCTCATGGGGTAGATGGATGTGGCCAGAAATGGTGATGATTATAGTAACAGTAATTATGATAATAATAACAAAAACATTTTGAGATATTCAGTCAGTTTTGCTATAAGTGACTTTATATATATCGTCCTATTTAGTCCTCACAGCAGCCCAGTGATTTTGATTCCATTATTAACTTCATTTTGCAAATTAGAAGATTGAGGTTAGAGCTTAAACAACTTGAATTTCCCCAAATCATCCAACGGCTAAACAATAGAGGTGGGTTGTTTAACTCAACCCAGTTATATAAGATTTGGGTTAGTCTTTGAAAGTCAGAGACAAAAGAGGAGAGGACAGAGGAGACCATACTAGAAACAAAAAGCAAAGAAATCATGAAGGTCAAAGGGCATAGTCACTTTTTAATGATTGCATGCAGCAGGAATTCTTGGTGCAATGATGTGAAGTTCCACTTACACCATGTCCAAGTTTTATAATTTGATTACTTAGAGTGTTGGTGGTAGTGAAGAGCTTCCACTATGTGAGTTGAATACAGCTGGTTGTAAATCTCACCTCTGCCACTACATAGCAGGTTGGCTTTGACCAAATCACTACTTCTGTTCTCCAAGCCTCAATTTTTTCATCCATAACATTGGATGATAAAAATTCCTATCATGTAGGATTGTGATAAAGATGACAATAGATTAAAGAATGCTGATTGATGTTGATTGATTTGTTGATTGACTCTATTCCAGGCAATATGTCAAGTGCTTTGTATTCATTGTGAATAAAGCACCTGGCAAGTGGGCTAGTGTTCAGTAGCCTCACTCCCTCAGTTTCCTCCTCTAAAAATTGGTATAATAAAAATAATGCTTTTCTCAGGACTTCCCTGGTGGTCCAGTGTTTTAAGACATCACCTTCCAATGCAGACGGTGCAGGTTCAACCCCTGGTCAGGGAGCTAAGATCCTACATGCCTCGCAGCCAAAAAAACAAAACGTAAAACAGAAGCAGTGTTCTAACAAATTCAGTAACATACTTCAAAGATGGTTCACATCAAAAAATCTTATTAAAAAAAAGAAGAGAGAGAATACCTTCTCACAGGCATATTGTGAGAATCAAATGAAACAGTGAATGTGGCACTGTTCTGTAACTGTTAAAAATAGTTTATAAATGGTATTTGCATAAAACCATAAGAAGAAAAAATGAAAGAAAAAAGTCAGCCATACAACACAGTGGGTATTGTTGGGTCTTGGAGTGCAGGCTGACCTCAGATGAAATCCTGCCTCGTTGCCTGTCCACTCTGCACCCTTGGTCAGCGTTTGGTGGCATCTCAGTTTCCTCATTAGGAAGTTGGGCTGTATTAAGCATACCTGGGGGAATTAAGTAAGATAATGTACATAAAAATGCTCAATCCATGGTATCGGAAAATATTGAAAAATAAAGTTAAACGGGACAAATGCTAATAGAACTGAAAATCCATCTCTATGAATCAGTGTTCTTTCCACTAGAGATGATATCTGGGGGCAAAAGAAATTCTGTTGAATCATTTCCTAGTCTCCACTGCCAAATGAATATGTGCTGTTTATGGATTTAATTTATTGGCAAAAAAAAGAATGAACGACACTTTTATTTTTTCTTCCTTCACTTTGATAGAGTTTTACATGGAGAAGTGGGAAGAACATGAAGCTTTTGACCAGAAAAGTGTGGGTTTTAATCCAAGCTGTGTCATCTCCTAGTTTAGAATCTTGCCTTTTACTCATCCTTGCTGTTTTCTTTATTGCGCGGGGGTAGTTGTAATCGTTAAAAAGGAGAATGCACGTGAAGGTGCTCCTATCATAGGTGAGTAGTTGTGAGTTGCTGGGTAGTGGCAGAGCGAAGTGGTGGTGAGCACGGTCTGAGAAGACCAGGTGTGTGACCTCATGCGTCTCATTCTCATCTTTATGCTGAGATAGAAATGGTCCTGCTTCCTGCATTGGGTGCAGAGTGCCAGATAAGTAGTTTTTAATAAAATAGCAGCTGTTCTCGCTCTCCCTCATCCAGAGATAACTTATTTAAAGATATTTAGAATGAGTCATAAATAATGATATGAAGGAAAAGAAAAAAATACACTTAGAAAAAAATAAGGTAACACTAGGCAGAGAAAGATGATGGAAACACAGCTCTTCATCTGTACTATTATGATCTCAGAGCTGTGTTTGGATTGCTGGTACCGTAAAAGAATTCAAATTTGGTAGCTAAGCCTCTTCTGGACCTTTAAAAGCACAGCCTGAGTCTATATGTGGTAGTAAGGACAGTTCATGAAAACAGATCATGAGAGCTGGTGGTGATTTTTGGATGGATTCTCTTTTTTATTAATTAATTTTTATTGGAGTGTAGTTGCTTTGCAGCGTTGTGTTAGTTTCTGACCTACAGCAAAAAATGAGTCAGCCATATATACATACATGTATCCCCTCCTTTTTGGATTTCCTTCCTGTTTAGGATAACAAGGTACATTAAGTCCAGTTCCCTGTGATATACCATAGGTTCTTGTTAGTTACCTATTTTACACATAGTATCAATAGTGTATATGTATCAATCCCAATTTCCCAGTTCCTCCCACCCCACTCCTTTCCCCCTTGATATCCATACATTTGTTCTCTATGTCTGGGTCTGTTTTTCTGGTTTGCACATAAGGTCTTCTATACCATCTTTCTAGATTCCACATATATGCATTAATATACTATATTTGTTTTTCTTTTTCTGACTTTACTCTGTATAGATGGACTCTTCTGAGTGTTGAGAAAATTAGATTCTAGTTCTTACTCTGCTGTTGCCTGGCTCTGTTACCAACAGTGCAGTTGCTTTGTGGTTCTCTGTCCCTAAAACTCTATGTTTTATGACAAGATAACTACAAATCATCAACTTGGCTTTTGATTTTTTTTCCTGTTACTTCCAAATGCAAGTATTTTAGCCTAAATCTGAGTTTTTCTTATTTCAGTTCTGCGTATCATGCTTATCAAATGATAGTGCACTATAGTCCTGGAGAGAGAGTTAAACAAGCAGAGTGTCCAGGATATGGAGTTATTTTATCAAACAAAAGGTCTCTAAGTGAAAACTAATATCACTTCGAGAGAGAGATTTTTCACATAATGTCAAATTCGTGCTTTTTGTCTGTGTGTGAAAATAAAAGTGTTAACCGCTCAGCGTGTCTCTTTGCAAACTCATGGACTACAGCTCACCAGGCTCCTCTGTCCATGGGATTCTCCAGACAAGAATACTGGAGTGGATTGCCATTCCCTTCTTCAAGGGATCTTCCTGACTCCGGGATCAAACCCAGGTCTCCTGCATTGCAGGCGGATTCTTCACCATCTGAGCCACCAGGGAAGCCCCCTTTATCTGTGTAATATCCCAGCTTTCATATTTTTAAATTAGTTTAGTGGAAACAAAATGTAGACTGTAAATACTCTGAAGAATGTGTATTTGTTAAATTCTAATAACTTAAGTTATTAAAGGATTATTTTATTTAAATTTTGCTCTTTGTAACATTTCATAAAAATATAATTGGGGGGACTTCCCTGGTAGTCCAGTGCTTAAGATTCCACACTTCCAATGCAGGGGGTGGGGGTTCCATGCTGGGGAATAAGATCCAGCTTGCTGTGTGGCTCAGCCAGAAAAAGAAATCAATGCTCAAAAATAATTTTTCAATAAACTAGAACATTTTCTGGTTAAGATTCATTTGTGGGAGTTCACAACTGTGAACCAAGAAATACCAACTGGGAAATGTTTGTGGACTCAAAGACAAAATGTTATTTAATGCACTCAGTCCTTGAATGTCTTCAAGGAAAGTTAAAATAATAATGATTAATTAAAGCTCCTGAAGATGTTTCACAGTTCCATGACACTAACGCCTTTGCTTTCTTTCCACAGTCTTCATGAACGCGGCAATTCCCATAGCAGCTGTTCTTGCTGTAAGACATGTTTTCTTACCTTTAGAAATGGAAACAAGTCAGTGTTTGGAAATGACTTAGGAATAAGCATGTGTGGGTGGTAACATGTATTACCACCTTGTTGCTGTCTCCACTGTGACGGTTCTAATCTGGGGTTTCTCAACCATGGCACTATGGAACTTTGGGCTCAAAAATTAATTCTTTGTAGCTCTGCATTAGGATGTCTAGCAGCATCTCTGGCTTCCAGTTTTTAAATGCCATTAGTACCATCAAAAATATCCCCAGACACTGCCAAATGTTCCCGGGGAACAAAATTAACAGGCAGAGAACTTACTGTTCTAACATCCATGACCTGATTCCTGGACATTCTTACAACAGGATTGTACTGGATCAGCAACCCAAATATGTTAAATGATTACATTTCAAAAGAAAAGGACAAACCCAGGAACTAGTGTTACATTTAGAAATGTAAGTTTGCCTTGGATACCAGTGTTGGCGATTTTAGGAAAGAGTCACAATAGGGACCCCCAAACAATGGAATTTTCTTTTTTCTTTCTCAAAAAATGTAGTACTGGTTGGAAAGAGCCTGACCAGGTGTTAAGAACTCTGGATTCTCTCATAGTTATTTCCCCTTTTCAGTAATTCGACAGAAGTCAGTTTTCTGATCTTTAGAATCTGTTTTGCCCTTTTCACAAGTTTACTGCTAGAACTAATGTAGACCATTAAGTACTCTAGTATTTTAGTACTTAAGTACTCAAGTGTTGTTTTTCTTAGAGAGTAATTTGGATGAAGTAATAGTATTTTTCAGAGTTGCAGTGGACCTGCTGGCATAGAAGAGGCTGTTTGGTTTGTAAAATTTAACGTAAGTATTTGTGACACTTTCTCCAGCTTTCTCTAAAACCCTTTCTTTGCACAGACGTTTGTGACCCACGCATATGCCAGCGGGAACAACCTCAAACCTGCAGAAGCCTTTGCTTCGCTGTCTCTTTTCCACATCCTGGTCACCCCTCTCTTCCTGCTCTCCACCGTGGTCAGGTTTGCAGTCAAAGCCATCATCAGGTATGTGCTGGGATGTCTGGTGTTTTTTGCTTGATTATAGAAATACTACTTGCTCATGTTGACAGTGGTTTAGGCACTTCTGTTGTGTCCAACTCTTTGCGACCCCACAGCAGGCTCCTTTGACCACAGGAGTCTCTGGGCAAGAATACTGAAGTGGATTGCCATGCCTTATTCCAGGGAATCTTCCTGACCCAGGGATTAAACCTGCATCTCTTACATCTCCTGCATTAGAAGGCAGGTTCTTTACCACTAGCACCACCTTGAAAGCCTACATGCTCGTGGTAGTAAGTTAGAAAATGAATAAAAAGAACATCTTAATCACTACCCAGAGATTACTTGGTATCAGAGATAACTTGTTAAAACTTTGCTGTGAGACCTTTCAGTCCCTTATTTCATGTAAAAATAATTACTCTAAAATAAAAATTTTGAATTTTTTGGTTATTTTTTCCCTCATTAAGACCATATGCATGATATTTACTGGCTACGTGATATTCCACTATTTGGAAGTATTTGAATTTACTTAGCGGTTACCACTTCATTGGACATTTAGAATGTTTCTGTTTTCACCCTAACATAAATAACATTTGAGAGAAGCATCTCTTTATCTTTAAACTCTTCTCTGATTATTTGCTAAAGTCAGATTTCTAGAAGTGCCAACACTCATTCTGATAGTGTGCATCTTCTTAAGATGCTTAATGAGTATGGCCATGTGGTTTTCCATTAAAGGAGATATAGGTCAAAAGATGTAACAAGTTTTTAAGATTTTTTTTAATGAGTATGGCCATAATGTTTTCCAGCAAAGTTGGGCTAGTTTATGTTTTTACCAACAGTGATAATGTTCACATCAACTCATATTTTCTGTCTTATTTTAGTTTAGTTTGGCAAAGAAAAAATAAATAAAATTCCAGACTCACAGTCTCTGCAAATGGGAAGACTTTGCAGAAATCAGTGCAGTGTTTTGTTCACTTTAACTATACTTTTATAGTGTTTCTGATCAGTGTGGACCTCACCTTTGACTCACAATGTCCCATAATGCACAGTTATAAAAAGATGTGATCTGATAGTAACCATTTCCCCACCATTTTTACTTGTATTATATAATACATATGTTAAAAAACCATGTTATACTACACCGTATGTGCTTTAGTCTCCTATATTTGATAGGTATTCTTAAGATAGTATTTTGCTTTTTGCTATGAAGTTTTATAAACCTTATAAAATCTCAGCATGTTTCATAAACAGTATTTATCGTATTTACATCTGGCCTTTGAAAAAAAAAACCAAGATGTTGCAATACAGAAATAAAACTGGAAAATTGAAGCCTTAACTATACTAAGCGTAGTGTTGCCACTGCTAGTAATGTGGAGCATCTATCATAAGACCTTTAAAAATGAGTAAATTTCCCAATATTTATGTATTATCGGGAAAACTGGTATTTAATATTCAAAATAACAGAAGCTCCAGTTTTAGGCAATAGTATATAGTGACTTAATGACTTAATACAAAATATCGTTATGATGTGTATAACTTGTGTTAGTTGCTCAGCCGTGTCTGACTCTTTGTGACCCCATGGACTATAACCTGTCAGACTCCTCTGTCCATACTGTTCATGGAATTCTCTAGGTAAGAATACTGGAGTGGATAACCATTCCCTTCTCCAGTGAATCTTCCTGACCCAGGGATCGAACCCCGGTCTCCTGTATTGCAGACAGAGCCTTTTACCATCTGAGCCACCAGGGAGCCCCAATGGTTAGCTCACTGCATTGTGCGGGAAATGAACCAAGGTAAATGCTTGGGTAGATGGGTGAACTTAACTCAGATGACCATTATATCTACTGCTGTGGGCAAGAATCCCTTAGAAGAAATGGAGTAACCATCATAGTCAACAAAAGAGTCCAAAATGAAGTTCTTGGAGGCAATGTCAAAAACAAGTCATTCAAGACAAGCCATTCAATATCACAGCAATCCAAGTCTATTTCCCAACCAGTAATGCTAAAGAAGCTGAAGTTGAGTGGTTCTATGAAGACCTACAAGACCTTCTAGAACTAACACCCAAAAAAGATGTCCTTTTCATTATAGGGGACTGGAATGTAAAAGTAGGGAGTCAAGAAACACCTGGAGTAACAGGCAGATTTGGCCATGGAGTACAGAATGAAGCAGGGTAAAGGCTAATAATAGTTTTGCCAAGAGAACGCACTGGTCATAGCAAACACCCTCTTCCAACAACACAAGAGAAGATTCTACACATGGACATCACCAGATGGTCAACACTGAAATCAGATTGATTATATTCTTTGCAGCCAAAGATGGAGAAGCTCTATACAGTCAGCAA